GTCCAACCTGGGTGCTGTAAGCCACCTTTAACAACCGCTAAATGCTCCACAAAACTGCTCCTTTACAATTTCAGTGCGATAAAAGCAAGTCTATTTTCTCCAAGAAATTCTTTCCTTATATTACACTCAGATTAACTATTATAATATTACAAAACTAAAAAGCAAAAAAGTATTTGTAATATAATGTAAAAAAAAATCTACAAATTACATTACAGGTATACAGTAATTAAGACTAAAGTAATCTTGTTCAAAAGTTCATATACTTTAAAAGGATATTATATTGACTTCCACCGCGCCCCCCCCCCCTTCTGACCAACACCCGTGACGCGCCCCACCCCCTGCCCAACACCTGTGGCGCCCCACCCCCTGCCCAACACCTGTGACGCCCCACCCCCCTGCCCAACACCTGTGACGCCCCACCCCCTGCCCAACACCTGTGGCGCCCCACCCCCTGCCCAACACCTGTGACGCCCCACCCCCCTGCCCAACACCTGTGACGCCCCACCCCCCCTACCCAACACCTGTGACGCTCCACCCCCCTGCCCAACACCTGTGACGCCCCACCCCCTGCCCAACACCTGTGACGCCCCACCCCCTGCCCAACACCTGTGACGCTCCACCCCCCCTGCCCAACACCTGTGACACCCCCCCCCCTGCCCAACACCTGTGACGCTCCACCCCCCCTACCCAAACACCTGTGACGCTCCACCCCCTGCCCAACACCTGTGACGCCCCACCCCCTGCCCAACACCTGTGACGCCCCACCCCCTGCCCAACACCTGTGACGCCCCACCCCCCCCCTGCCCAACACCTGTGACGCCCCACCCCCTGCCCAACACCTGTGACGCCCCACCCCCTGCCCAACACCTGTGACGCCCCCCCCCCCCTGCCCAACACCTGTGACGCCCCACCCCCCCTGCCCAACACCTGTGACGCCCCACCCCCCCCTGCCCAACACCTGTGACGCCCCACCCCCCCTGCCCAACACCTGTGACGCCCCACCCCCCCTGCCCAACACCTGTGACGCCCCACCCCCCCTGCCCAACACCTGTGACGCCCCACCCCCCCTGCCCAACACCTGTGACACCCCACCCCCCCTGCCCAACACCTGTGACGCTCCACCCCCCCTGCCCAACACCTGTGACGCTCCACCCCCCCTACCCAACACCTGTGACGCTCCACCCCCCTGCCCAACACCTGTGACGCCCCACCCCCTGCCCAACACCTGTGACGCCCCACCCCCTGCCCAACACCTGTGACGCCCCACCCCCCCTGCCCAACACCTGTGACGCCCCACCCCCTGCCCAAAACCTGTGACACCCCACCCCCTGCCCAACACCTGTGACGCCCCACCCCCTGTCCAACACCTGTGACGCCCCCCCCCTGCCCAACACCTGTGACGCCCCCACCCCCCCTGCCCAACACCTGTGACACCCCCCCCCTGCCCAACACCTGTGACGCTCCACCCCCCCTACCCAACACCTGTGACGCTCCACCCCCCTGCCCAACACCTGTGACGCCCCACCCCCTACCCAACACCTGTGACGCTCCACCCCCCCTACCCAACACCTGTGACGCCCCACCCCCTAACACCTGTGACGCTCCACCCCCCCTACCCAACACCTGTGACGCCCCACCCCTCCTGCCCAACACCTGTGACGCCCCACCCCTCCTGCCCAACACCTGTGACGCCCCACCCCCCCTGCCCAACACCTGTGACGCCCCCCCCCCCCTGCCCAACACCTGTGACGCCCCACCCCCCTGCCCAACACCTGTGACGCCCCACCCCCCTGCCCAACACCTGTGACGCCCCACCCCTCCTGCCCAACACCTGTGACGCCCCACCCCCCTGCCCAACACCTGTGACGCCTCACAAACCTCTATGAACACTGGCTGTCCGCCTCATTTACACTCACGGATTGATGACATTTTAGGAGTGAGTTATGCAGACGTTGGTGGTGGGCGCTGCTCCACGACACAACCGCTCACTCTGTGTGGCCTAAGTCGCACCTCACAACTCTGACGTCTGTCATAAGAATAGAAATAAATTAAACTGCACACATTCAGGTGAAATAATTTTGGGGCCTCGTATGGGGCCAATACGCTCATGCAAGGCACTCAAATCCGTATATGTTTCTAACCTACGCTTGAAATAATCCATCTATCCATAACGTTACTCAATATATCATTTCATAAATCAACAACCCTCTTTCCACACCAGTATTTACCCAGGTCTTTCCTAAATGTTTACTGATCCAATATATATTCATTATTCTTGTTTTATTTTGTGGACATACTGAAGAACAGTGATGACTCGGAGCACCAGTCTGCTGAAGTACTTGAGAGTGTGTAAGTGTTCATCCTGTCACTGCCGAGGATGTCTCCACGCCCAACAGTGACTCACAAGTGTACCCCCCCCCCCACTGTGGCACGGTTCACCAGGGCTCAGAGAGCAGTGAGCACCTCCGCCAGCCGTGGCACTGGTCGGCAGTGCTACGTCATGTCACTAAACTCCTCCGGATTTGTTGATCTCACTCTCAGTTAATCATCTACAACAAATACATTACCGCCCTCTTATTGGTCAAATCTAGTTACGTTGAGTTGTGACGCGAGTGACGTCTCGTATTTTAACCTATATGATAAATATGTGCTTGGTTATTAATTTACTTGTAGTGAGCTTGGAGCGTCAGTACACTTTACTGCACGTCGACGGTTATAGCAGGTAACTAGAATAGGTTTCTAGAGTTGGTTACCTTCCCCCGAGCCCGGTCTGTGGCCACCACCCGGCTGGTCCAACACGTCTGCAAGAACTCGTCTGATTGTGACCCGGGAACATTGTGTTGTGGGAGAGGGTTGTGAGGAGCGGACCTCTGAGTGTGTCCACGGCGCCGCTGCTCGTCGCTGGCTACATCCTCCTTTTCCTGCCACATGTTTCGCTCAGCATGTTATGTTACTCTGCATAATTTGCTCCTGACCTTCCAGTATCAGGACCAGATATATGCATATTTAAAGTAAATATATGCACGTATATCGAATACATGCATATATTATGTATACCTCTCTCGTCTCTTTTCCAGAGAGTAGATTTTGAGTGCTGTGAGACGCCCCAATAGTTTAGGTGCCTTATGGTGTATATGCGTGCCGTATATGTTCTGTGTATTCTCTCTATCTCAGCCATCTCTCCTGCTCTCAAGGGGCAAGTGAGTACGGAGCAGTAGTCTAGGCGGGAAAACACAAGTTATTTGAATACAGCAATGATCATTGCTGTCGATTTCCAGATTTCTCTTTATCCCCATCATTGTTGTGGCGGATGGTACGTTAACGTTGTTGTGAGTACTGCCTGGGGTCACGGTGTGTGTCCACCGTTGTCACCAGTCTTATGTCAGGCTGCCATGCTCTTGGTACATACCTTCACACTGCCTGTAGTGAGCGTCTCTTTGCAACCCCCCTCTCTCTCTCTCCACTCTCTCCGGGGCGGCGCTCTCACTCACGTTCTGCTCTTTCTCTGTGCTTTGGGTGTGTGCGAGAGGGAGAGAGAGAGAGAGAGAGAGAGAGGGAGAGGGGAGGGGGCAGGGAAAGAGAGGGGGCGGCGGTGGGTTGAGTGTAGCAGTGTGTGGCGTCGCTTGCTGCTGGGTTGGTGACTGGTGCGCTGGTAGGGTGGTGGTGGTGGGAGAGAAGCTCCCATCTGAGCTGTGGTGTCTGCCCGCGCCCTGCTCCACTCTCACCTGAGCCGCGCCAACAGCTCCACGCCACCTCCACACACAGGTAAATACCCACACACCAGCCTTCCCATGAGGCACTTTACCGCCTCTTACTAACAGCTTGCATCTCCTTGCCTAGTATTACCCGCCTCGGCCGCCGTCCTCGGCCAGTGTTGACCACTTAGATGGACCCGGAAGGTGACCCAGGAGATACCGGAAGTGCTTGCCGGATCTCTGTTGACCTAACTTTATCTGGCACTTGTCCACCCGGGCCAAGGTCACACCCTCTAGTATTGATCTCCTTCGTCGTGGTCTTTCAGCGGGAAATTGTGGTAGGTGATGGTGCGCCCCACACAAGTGCCATATTGGTCAGCCTCACCCCAGCCACTGACGCAGCCCCATGGTGTGACCTGATGCAGCCCCACGGTGTGACCTGACGCAGCCCCACGGTGTGACCTGACGCAGCCCCACGGTGTGACCTGACGCAGCCCCACGGTGTGACCTGACGCAGCCCCACGGTGTGACCTGACGCAGCCCCACGGTGTGACCTGACGCAGCCCCACGGTGTGACCTGACGCAGCCCCACGGTGTGACCTGACGCAGCCCCACGGTGTGACCTGACGCAGCCCCACGGTGTGACCTGACGCAGCCCCACGGTGTGACCTGACGCAGCCCCACGGTGTGACCTGACGCAGCCCCACGGTGTGACCTGACGCAGCCCCACGGTGTGACCTGACGCAGCCCCACGGTGTTACGTAACAATAACGGTGTAACCTAACACGGTTGAAAACAAGCCACAGTGTGACACAGTGCAGCTCACAGTATGACACCACGCAACCTACAGTGTGACACCAGCCAGTGTGACACCAGCCAGTGTGACACCAGCCAGTGTGACACCAGCCAGTGTGACACCAGCCAGTGTGACACCAGCCAGTGTGACACCAGCCAGTGTGACACCAGCCAGTGTGACACCACACAGCAGTAGTAGCGGTTATGTATTGTAATGGAATAATAATCTTTATGGTAATAGTGATGCGTAGTTGTAGTAGTTAAGCGTAATTGTAGTAGATAAGCGTAATTGTAGTAGATATGCGTAGTTGTAGTAGATATGCGTAGTTGTAATAGATATGCGTAGTTGTAGTAGATATGCGTAGTTGTAGTAGATATGCGTTGTTTTGGTAGATATGCATAGTTGTAGTAGATATGCGTAGTTTTAGTAGATATGCGAAGTTTTAGTAGATAAGCGTAGTTGTAATAGGGATGCGTAGCAGTTGTAGTGGAAATACGTATACGAATTAGTTACACAGATGCAAAGGCAATATTTGTCATGTGTAGCAGAGTAGCAGTGATGGCTTGGTAGTGGTGCTGGGGCAGTGATGGCAAGATGACGGGTGCTGGGGCAGTGATGGCAAGATGACGGGTGTTGGGGCAGTGTTGGCAAGATGACGGGTGTTGGGGCAGTGTTGGCAAGATGACGGGTGTTGGGGCAGTGTTGGCAAGATGACGGGTGCTGGGGCAGTGATGGCAAGATGACGGGTGCTGGGGCAGTGATGGCAAGATGACGGGTGCTGGGGCAGTGATGGCAAGATGACGGGTGTTGGGGCAGTGTTGGCAAGATGACGGGTGTTGGGGCAGTGTTGGCAAGATGACGGGTGCTGGGGCAGTGTTGGCAAGATGACGGGTGCTGGGGCAGTGTTGGCAAGATGACGGGTGTTGGGGCAGTGTTGGCAAGATGACGGGTGTTGGGGCAGTGTTGGCAAGATGACGGGTGCTGGGGCAGTGTTGGCAAGATGACGGGTGTTGGGGCAGTGTTGGCAAGATGACGGGTGTTGGGGCAGTGTTGGCAAGATGACGGGTGTTGGGGCAGTGTTGGCAAGATGACGGGTGCTGGGGCAGTGTTGGCAAGATGACGGGTGCTGGGGCAGTGATGGCAAGATGACGGGTGCTGGGGCAGTGTTGGCAAGATGACGGGTGCTGGGGCAGTGATGGCAAGATGACGGGTGCTGGGGCAGTGATGGCAAGATGACGGGTGCTGGGGCAGTGTTGGCAAGATGACGGGTGCTGGGGCAGTGATGGCAAGATGACGGGTGCTGGGGCAGTGTTGGCAAGATGACGGGTGCTGGGGCAGTGTTGGCAAGATGACGGGTGCTGGGGCAGTGTTGGCAAGATGACGGGTGCTGGGGCAGTGTTGGCAAGATGAGGGATGCTGGGGCAGTGTTGGCAAGATGACGGGTGCTGGGGCAGTGATGGCAAGATGACGGGTGCTGGGGCAGTGTTGGCAAGATGAGGGATGCTGGGGCAGTGTTGGCAAGATGACGGGTGCTGGGGCAGTGATGGCAAGATGACGGGTGCTGGGGCAGTGTTGGCAAGATGAGGGATGCTGGGGCAGTGATGGCAAGATGACGGGTGCTGGGGCAGTGTTGGCAAGATGACGGGTGCTGGGGCAGTGTTGGCAAGATGACGGGTGCTGGGGCAGTGATGGCAAGATGACGGGTGCTGGGGCAGTGTTGGCAAGATGACGGGTGCTGGGGCAGTGATGGCAAGATGACGGGTGCTGGGGCAGTGTTGGCAAGATGACGGGTGCTGGGGCAGTGTTGGCAAGATGACGGGTGCTGGGGCAGTGATGGCAAGATGACGGGTGCTGGGGCAGTGATGGCAAGATGACGGGTGCTGGGGCAGTGTTGGCAAGATGACGGGTGCTGGGGCAGTGTTGGCAAGATGACGGGTGCTGGGGCAGTGTTGGCAAGATGAGGGATGCTGGGGCAGTGTTGGCAAGATGACGGGTGCTGGGGCAGTGATGGCAAGATGACGGGTGCTGGGGCAGTGTTGGCAAGATGAGGGATGCTGGGGCAGTGTTGGCAAGATGACGGGTGCTGGGGCAGTGATGGCAAGATGACGGGTGCTGGGCAGTGTTGGCAAGATGACGGGTGCTGGGGCAGTGTTGGCAAGATGAGGGATGCTGGGGCAGTGTTGGCAAGATGACGGGTGCTGGGGCAGTGATGGCAAGATGACGGGTGCTGGGGCAGTGTTGGCAAGATGACGGGTGCTGGGGCAGTGTTGGCAAGATGACGGGTGCTGGGGCAGTGTTGGCAAGATGACGGGTGCTGGGGCAGTGTTGGCAAGATGACGGGTGCTGGGGCAGTGTTGGCAAGATGACGGGTGCTGGGGCAGTGTTGGCAAGATGACGGGTGCTGGGGCAGTGTTGGCAAGATGACGGGTGCTGGGGCAGTGTTGGCAAGATGACGGGTGCTGGGGCAGTGTTGGCAAGATGAGGGATGCTGGGGCAGTGATGGCAAGATGACGGGTGCTGGGGCAGTGATGGCAAGATGAGGGATGCTGGGGCAGTGTTGGCAAGATGACGGGTGCTGGGGCAGTGTTGGCAAGATGACGGGTGCTGGGGCAGTGTTGGCAAGATGACGGGTGCTGGGGCAGTGTTGGCAAGATGACGGGTGCTGGGGTAGTGTTGGCAAGATGACGGGTGCTGGGGCAGTGTTGGCAAGATGAGGGATGCTGGGGCAGTGATGGCAAGATGACGGGTGCTGGGGCAGTGTTGGCAAGATGACGGGTGCTGGGGCAGTGTTGGCAAGATGACGGGTGCTGGGGCAGTGTTGGCAAGATGACGGGTGCTGGGGCAGTGTTGGCAAGATGACGGGTGCTGGGGTAGTGTTGGCAAGATGACGGGTGCTGGGGCAGTGATGGCAAGATGAGGGATGCTGGGGCAGTGATGGCAAGATGACGGGTGCTGGGGCAGTGATGGCAAGATGACGGGTGCTGGGGGCAGTGATGGCAAGATGAGGGATGCTGGGGCAGTGTTGGCAAGATGAGGGATGCTGGGGCAGTGTTGGCAAGATGAGGGATGCTGGGGCAGATTGTCGGCGGTGAAAGCTGTAAATGTTATTAGTGCCAACACCAAACGTCCCCCCCGCTCCGCCCCCCGTCTATACGTTACTCGGAGGAGGCCCCAAGGTCTTCCCTCACCCGAGGAGTGCCTGGGCCTGCTAGTCTATTCCCCTGAGAGGAACGTCGTTACTTCTTCTCAGTGCTTGTTTCACAGTAGAAGTTAATGTCAAAAATTCAACTCCAGAGAGAGTTTCGTTAGTATGTAGGGAGTGTAGGCCTTAGTAAAGTGCAGGCGTACATCACTGTGTCAGCCGGGCGCACCATCTTGTCTCTATTGTACATGCTCTCTACTTCTTAACTAGTTCTTTAAGCAGTTTACATTCTAGTTTGTTCCACTTGCTTCCTGGTCTTAGGCTGAACTGTTTCGTCACATCCCTGCTGCTTATGTGCGTGACTAACTCCCGAGTAGGTGCTCACTTTAGGTCAGCCAAAACATTTTATCTTTCATTGATTCACATTAGTATTCAATATGTCTGGATAATATCCCTCTTTTTTTCCTTTCTTTTGGGACTAGGCGTGAGTGTGTGTGTGTGTGTACTCACCTATTTGTGCTTGCAGGATCGAGCATTGACTCTTGGATCCCGCCTTGTGTGTGTGTGGTGTGTGTGTGTGTGTGTGTGTGTGTGTGTGTGTGTGTGTGTGTGTGTGTGTGTGTGTAATTACCCAACTGTTATTACCTAAGTGTAGTTATGGGATGAGAGCTATGATCGTGGTGTCCCGTCTTCCCAGCACTCTGTCGTATAACGCTTTGAAACTACTGACCGTTTATGCCTCCACCACCTCACCTGTTCCAACCGTCCATCACTGTAAAAGTGAACGTTCTAATGTGTGTTCGGTACTATTGTTTCCGTAGCTTGAAGTAATGACTTTTTGGAATTGTAGATTTAAAAAATTCCACTTTGTCTATTTTGCCGATTCATCTTACTATTGTGTATGTCGTGATCATATCTCCTCTTTTTTGTCTTGTGTCTTGTAGCTTTGGCAGTGTTAACGCCTGTAGCCTGAGTGGCGTCACCCCCCGTAGCCTGAGTGGCGTCACCCCCCGTAGCCTGAGTGGCGTCACCCCCCGTAGCCTGAGTGGCGTCACCCCCCGTAGCCTGAGTGGCGTCACCCCCCGTAGCCTGAGTGGCGTCACCCCCCGTAGCCTGAGTGGCGTTACCCCCGTAGCCTGAGTGGCGTCACCCCCCGTAGCCTGAGTGGCGTCACCCCCCGTAGCCTGAGTGGCGTCACCCCCCGTAGCCTGAGTGGCGTCACCCCCCGTAGCCTGAGTGGCGTCACCCCCCGTAGCCTGAGTGGCGTCACCCCCCGTAGCCTGAGTGGCGTCACCCCCCGTAGCCTGAGTGGCGTCACCCCCCGTAGCCTGAGTGGCGTCACCCCCCGTAGCCTGAGTGGCGTCACCCCCCGTAGCCTGAGTGGCGTCACCCCCGTAGCCTGAGTGGCGTCACCCCCCGTAGCCTGAGTGGCGTCACCCCCCGTAGCCTGAGTGGCGTCACCCCCCGTAGCCTGAGTGGCGTCACCCCCCGTAGCCTGAGTGGCGTCACCCCCCGTAGCCTGAGTGGCGTCACCCCCCGTAGCCTGAGTGGCGTCACCCCCCGTAGCCTGAGTGGCGTCACCCCCCGTAGCCTGAGTGGCGTCACCCCCCGTAGCCTGAGTGGCGTCACCCCCCGTAGCCTGAGTGGCGTCACCCCCCGTAGCCTGAGTGGCGTCACCCCCCGTAGCCTGAGTGGCGTCACCCCCCGTAGCCTGAGTGGCGTCACCCCCCGTAGCCTGAGTGGCGTCACCCCCCGTAGCCTGAGTGGCGTCACCCCCCGTAGCCTGAGTGGCGTCACCCCCCGTAGCCTGAGTGGCGTCACCCCCCGTAGCCTGAGTGGCGTCACCCCCCGTAGCCTGAGTGGCGTCACCCCCCGTAGCCTGAGTGGCGTCACCCCCCGTAGCCTGAGTGGCGTCACCCCCCGTAGCCTGAGTGGCGTCACCCCCGTAGCCTGAGTGGCGTCAGTGGCGTCCCCCCGTAGCCTGAGTGGCGTCACCCCCGTAGCCTGAGTGGCGTCACCCCGTAGCTCTTGTTTTCAGTTCCGAAAGGGAAGGGAACTATCAGGAGAAAACACCAAACCATTACGACAATATAGCACTGTTAAAGGACCAGGATAAATACTTGGGATGGGACGGGGGAAAAGAATGGTGCCCAACCACTTGGACGGTCGGGGATTAAACGCCGACCTGCATGAAGCGAGACCGTCGCTCTACCGGCCAGCCCAAGCAGTTCCGAAAGCCATTTAGTTGCATTTTTTGGAACTTTTTTTTAGTTTGTTGATGTGCTGATGAACAAACTAGATGGTAGATGGGTCATACAGGAAATGAACTTTACTAGTGCTAGAAAACCCTGTAATAGTCTTCCGGTCTGATACATTGCCTCTTTTTACCGTCCTCATCTTTATGGCAGATAATTTATCATCCATGTCACAAGTCTTCTTGTCACCCTCTCTATGTTCCTCTGTACTAACCTAGTTGTGCTTGCGGGGGTTGATCTGGCTCTTTGGTCCCGCCTCTCAACTGTCAATCAACTGGTGTACAGGTTCCTGAGTTCACTGTGTATGGAGTCAGCCTCCACCACATCACTGCCTAATGCATTCCACCTGTTAACCTATTGTTATTTTGTGTGTGTGTGTAATTACCTAGTGTAGTTACAGGATGAGAGCTACGCTCGTGGTGTCCCGTCTTCCCAGCACTCTGTCATATAACGCTTTGAAACTACTGACGGTCTTGGCCTCCACCACCTTCTCCCCTAACTTGTTCCAATCGTCTACCACTCTGTTTGCGAAAGTGAATTTTCTTATATTTCTTCGGCATCTGTGTTTAGCTAGTTGAAATCTATGACCTCTTGTTCTTGAAGTTCCAGGTCTCAGGAACTTGTGTGTGTGTGTGTGTGTGTGTGTGTGTGTGTGTGTGTGTGTGTGTGTGTGTGTCAATCATCTTACTACGGTATTGACCGCTCGTCATCCCCCCCCCCCGTCAATACACGTAACGCCCTACTCACCATCCCACTCCTGGTCCACCCCCCCCCCACCTCTACCCATCCAAGCCACCTTCATGTAACTCTTAGGCTCCTCACCTCCCACAGTTGATGGCCCAGGAGCTTGAGTCTCCATGAAAACCCAGCCACACAAAACAAATAGTTCCAAAATGAAATACAGACCTGAACGTCCCTCCCTAAAAAACCCTTAAACATTAAAAAAATATGTATAAGCATCCGAGTGTGTAGAGGTGAATAATACACAGTATTTATGTATGAACTCATATGTGGTAAGTATACGTGAAGAACCTCTCACTCTGCTCTGCCTAGCTTCCTGCTTGTCTGCCTAGCTTCCTGCTTGTCTGCCTAGCTTCCTGCTTGTCTGCCTAGCTTCCTGCTTGTCTGCCTAGCTTCCTGCTTGTCTGCCTAGCTTCCTGCTTGTCTGCCTAGCTTCCTGCTTGTCTGCCTAGCTACCTGCTTGTCTGCTTAGCTTCCTGCTTGTCTGCTTAGCTTCCTGCTTGTGTGCCTAGCTTCCTGCTTGTCTGCCTAGCTTCCTGCTTGTCTGCCTAGCTTCCTGCTTGTCTGCCTAGCTTCCTGCTTGTCTGCCTATCTTCCTGCTTGTCTGCCTAGCTTCCTGCTTGTCTGCCTAGCTTCCTGCTTGTCTGCCTATCTTCCTGCTTGTCTGCCTATCTTCCTGCTTGTCTGCCTATCTTCCTGCTTGTCTGCCTATCTTCCTGCTTGTCTGCCTATCTTTCTGCTTGCCTAGCTTCCTGCATGTCTGCCTAGCATTCTGCTTGCCTAGCTTCCGGCCATTTATCTTCCTACCTAGACGCTTACATGCGTGTTTACCTTCCGGCCTTTTGTCTTTGTTTACCTTTCTGGCCGCCTGGCCGTGTGTTTGTTTACCTTTCTGGCCGCCTGGCCGTGTCTTTGTTTACCTTTCTGGCCGCCTGGCCGTGTCTTTGTTTACCTTTCTGGCCGCCTGGCCGTGTCTTTGTTTACCTTTCTGGCCGCCTGGCCGTGTCTTTGTTTACCTTTCTGGCCGCTTGGCCGTGCCTTTGTTTACCTTTCTGGACGCCTGGCCGTGCCTTTGTTTACCTTTCTGGCCGCCTGGCCGTGCCTTTGTTTACCTTTCTGGCCGCCTGGCCGTGCCTTTGTTTACCTTTCTGGACGCCTGGCCGTGCCTTTGTTTACCTTTCTGGCCGCCTGGCCGTGCCTTTGTTTACCTTTCTGGCCGCCGGTCTGTTTATATTCATACCTGCCTATATCCTCCTGCCTTCCTGTGTTAATTTTGTATTTAGATAGGAAAGAGGGTCATGGTGATCCTGTTCCACTGATCAACTCACTCAGTTCAGTCTACTTGCTTTAGGGGTCAGATTCTGGTACTTCAGACCTTTTACCCAAGTACTGCTGCCTGCACCTCCAGACTGGCCAGATGTCGACCAGGGCTCACTAGTCTGCCAGCCTGAAGGTGCAGGCAGACCAGGACTCCCTAGTCTGCCAGCCTGGAGGTGCAGGCAGACCAGGACTCACTAGTCTGCCAGCCTGAAGGTGCAGGCAGACCAAGACTCACTAGTCTGCCAGCCTGGAGGTGCAGGAATGCACGAGTGTGAGGTGAGGTCACCCACACGAGTGTGAGGTGAGGTCACAACACAGCTGGCGGGTGTCGAGGCCAGAGGGTGAGGGCTGACGCAGCATGAGGGAGCGAGGCTACAGTTACCGAGGTCTGGGTTGCATATGAATTCCGGAAATCAAATCGGACACATGCTCTTAAATTGCGTCATCGAGATTCTCGCTGATTGGCTGTATTTTCACCTCTCGACCAATCACAGCTCACGTGTGACTTGTCTCGATTGGCTTAGAAATGTCACGTGATTCAAAGCTGTAACGTACAAACCCAACCCACCCACCCACCCCTATCGAGGCGGATGCTCAGAAAGCGTGAATATTACGGTGCTTTAATTTTGACTAATACGCCGCATTTTTTATCGATTGGTCGATTCCGTTAAAAAATGCGACCTATTGAGTAAGAGGACGGGTTGTACTCCGCACGGCACGGTAATGGTACTCACACTCTTAACAAACTACATTTTAATGAACCCTAAAACGTACCTCATCATTGTTGAGGGTTGTGAGGGACCTCATAAAGCTGTGCTGCTCCCAGAAGTACAACGCTCAAGCTTAGTTACCTCCTGGTGTTGTGTTTGTGAGGGAACACTGAAACCTCCCCGGTGTGCGCACATGGGGCTCCACATGGGGCTCCACATGGTGCTCCACATGGTGCTCCACATGGGGCTCCACATGGGGCTCCACATGGGGCTCCACATGGTGCTCCACATGGGGCTCCACATGGTGCTCCACATGGGGCTCCACATGGTGCTCCACATGGTGCTCCACATGGTGCTCCACATGGGGCTCCACATGGGGCTCCACATGGGGCTCCACATGGTGCTCCACATGGGGCACCACATGGTGCTCCACATGGGGCTCCACATGGGGCTCCACATGGTGCTCCACATGGGGCTCCACATGGGGCTCCACATGGTGCTCCACATGGTGCTCCACATGGTGCTCCACATGGGGCTCCACATGGGGCTCCACATGGTGCTCCACATGGTGCTCCACATGGGGCTCCACATGGGGCTCCACATGGGGGTCCACATGGGGCTCCACATGGGGCTCCACATGGGGCTCCACATGGTGCTCCACATGGGGCTCCACATGGGGCTCCACATGAGGCGGCCAAGTGTTACGTTGGGGTTGAATTTGTCATTGGCACCTGATTGATGGCTGCGAGAAGACTAGCACTAGTACCTACCTGGATGGGGTTCTAGGAGTTCTACTCCTGACTTATGAGAGTTTGGTCCACTAGGCTGTTGCTTTGGTCCGACACTCCTTGAAGAAAACTAGATAGTTTTCTCTTGAAGATGTCCACTGTTGTTCCGGCAATATTTCTTATGCTTGCTGGGAGGATGTTGAACAACCGCGGACCTCTGATGTTTATACAGTGTTCTCTGATTGTGCCTATGGCACCTCTGCTCTTCACTGGTTCTATTCTGCATTTTCTTCCATATCGTTCACTCCAGTACGTTGTTATTTTACTGTGTAGATTTAGTACTTGGCCCTCCAGTATTTTCCATGTGTATATTATTTGATATCTCTCCCGTCGTCTTTCTTGTGAGTACATTCGGAGAGCTTTGAGGCAATCCCAATAATTTATCGCGTGTATGTATGCCGTATATGTTTTCTGTATTCCATCTATCTCAGCAACTTGGATGCAAGTATTTACGCAACCTCTTACGAAACCTATGCATCTTTCAACAATTATGGCCGATTTGGTTACATTAAACAGTTTATGAGCTCCGAAGCACTATGAAGTTGTTTATACAATAATAAGTGTTGAATAAATGTAAATAAGCCTGCTATAATTGTTAAAAGATGTACAGGTTTCGTAAGACAGCTTTTCGAAAGATGTACATTTCGTTGCATAAATGTCTGATGAATCCAGGCCTTGATAGCCAGTTAAAGGTGGCTCTTAAAATCTCAATAATTTAATTCCTCTTGAGTAAAATCAAATTATGTCCAAAGTTTAAGGATTGGTTAAGCTCGGGGATGGAAGTTGTGTGTATGGTGTTTAAGGAGCAACATATAATAATTTAGTGTGTTGTGTTAAGAGTAAAGCGAGGCTACCAGGGTGCGAGGCTTAAAGTGACACATGTAACTTGCTCACCTCTCAACTAATGCGCCTCATTGTCTACACTATTGTTAATTTGGTAGTTGAGATGTGGGTTGTGTCCCACATACATGGTCTTTCATTTTTAGATATTGAAAAGCATCTTCCAGTTTTCCGGTCTTGTGGTTTTTATGTAGAGCTCTTTGTAAGGCCTCAATATCATTTTCACTTCCCACTTTATCATATCTTTTGGTGTCGTTGTTGATGATGTTGGAAATATTCTCATCTATGTCATTGTTGTATGTGATAAAAAAGCTTGGCCCCAAAATGTACACTTGAAGCACCCCACTCATCACATTTCTCCAGTCAGATTCATTCCCCTTTAACACGACCCCTTGCGCTCTTTGTTTTAATCATTATTTAAACAAATTATTTAAATCATATATTCCATGGAAATAGGGGTGACATTTGCATATTTCCAGTCAAGCGGGCCCTTCGTCCAGAAAATTTCTGAGAAGGAGTTTCAGTGGTAGACATAGTTCCTCTGCAAGTTCCTTTAAGACTTTGGATTGGATTCCGTTCCCACCTGGGGCTTTTGAGTCTTTCAGTTTGTCAGTGCTCTTCCTGATTATGTCGCATGTTCTGTCCTGCAACCAGGTTGTCCAGGTTGTCCAGGTTGCTGATCAGTCCAGCAACCAGGAGGCCTGGTCGACGACCGGGCCGCGGGGATGCTGAGCCCCGGAAGCACCTCAAGGTAACCTCAAGGTAACCTCAAGGCAAGGTTGTGGGTATATTCTTTAATTCGTTCTCCTCTCCTCCTTCATACATTTGTGTAGGGTAATGGAATGTTATTTAATCTCTCTAGTGTGGACAATGATGTTGTGACGGGAAACGTTGGTGGTCGTGCAGTCTCTGTAATGCCAGTCACAAAATATTAAAAAAAAAAAAAAAAGTTAAACTGCAAAGGTGTCGTCACAGTGAGATAAACTGTATGATAAAGCAGAGGGAAAAAACATTTAAAAAATACTTTACTTTAAAAATAAAACTGAAGTTAAACAAATTACAAAACATATAATAATATCCAGGCTTGGCATTAATACAAAGTTTGTAAAACAAACAAGATGAACAATCAAATTTACGTTACGTTAAGGTGCAAAATAAAATATGGTGCGGAATACTAGGAGCTAGTCTGACTAAATCCGTTATAACACCGAGATGTGTTAACAGGTCTACTCAGTTGAGCACACAGGAGTAATCTGAATCTTGGAGAGCTTGGTAGCCCTATTTATACAGATGGACGGCCGGAAAGATGGCGCTGGTGACTTCTTTAACTATGAACCGGCTCACTTAAACTGCTTGTTTCAGAGGCCGTGGCCTCCCAGTGACCCAGGTGCGAGGTGGGGTGACGGGCCGTGGTGAAGGGGGCAGACTGGTAGTACTGTCTAGACGTCTGGAAGTAGTAGTTGTTGTTGTTGACCAGACCATACACTAGAAGGTGAAGGGACGACGACGTTTCGCTCCGTCGTGGACCATTCTCAAGTCGATTGTAATCACAATCGATTTGAGAATGGTCCAGGACAGACCGAAACTTCGTCGTCACATACTTTAGCCACGTTATTCTGACTCATCGCCTGCATTTTGTTGCAGTTCTTGATAAAATAGACGTGAATGAGTAGAATAGGTGATAATGGAGTAGGCTGAATCTCTTCCTAGAGATTTTACCGTGACAATGTAAAGTATTCATTCATAGTGTTTACTGCCCTTTTGTCGTCCATTATAACTTGGTCTCATGTTTAAGGGTCTTAACACGCCTTTTATTTTGGTTGTACTTCTTATATACAACTTTGTACCTTTCTTTGTGTTTTGGGCAAGTTTTGTTTTGTAGTTTCTTTTGGCAATTCAGACTTGCTGGGAAGTCAGGAAGATAAGACCCTTCTATGTATCTCGTATGTTCTTCGTGGATTTATTCCTTCTCCAGAGGGTCCGCTTAGTTATTAAAGCTTTTTTTAATGCTTGTGTCATCCATGTAGTTACCTTTTCTTTTTCCTTTTATGGCCCATATTTTTGAAAGAGTTCATTATGACCTTTTTGAAACTTGTCATGATGCTTCCATGACATGGCCAGCCATCAGCTTCCTCCAGGAGATGGTATGCAATATCACTCTCTCTCTCACTCCTTGATAGTCATCTCGAGGGTAATCTAGAAAGTCATCATCCTAGACCTTTTAATAGGTTTCTATAATTGATACCTGCTTGATGATGGAGTTCTAATTGTAGTCCATGTTAGAGTATTGTGATGACATGAAAGGGTGAGCGTTTACCCCTACCTGGATATGATGGATAATGCCCTCTTGTGCTGTTAACACAAGATGTGGTACGCTGCTACATGCAGTGGGCTCTGCCACATGTCGTGTGAGAGAGGACTCCCGAACCAAGTCCAGAAATTGTTCTCCTGCTTGTGATGTTATATTTACCCAGTCTATTATCTGATGGTTACACTCCCCCATTATAAGGGTTTGGGTTGATCACATTATGCAGGTCAGCAACAAGTCCTCATGCTCATACTGTTGTTTGTCTTGGCGTGTAGCGAGGTCTTATCTGAGACATGCGCATAGTTCATTGCGCATACTGCGGTAAGTTTTGCAATATTGCGTTGCGTGCGTCAGCTATTACATTACCAGATATGAACAGCTGGTGGGTGACGGGGTAGGCCAGGGCTGGTGGAGTGTACCAGTTGCTGCTGCGTTATTGGTGCTGGGAGAGTCACAGCTGCGCGCGCGCGCTCTCTCTCTCTCTCTCTCTCTCTCTCTCTCTCTCTCTCTCTCTCTCTCTCTCTCTCTCTCTCTCTCTCTCTCTCTCTCTCTCTCTCTCTCTCTCTCTCTCTCTATCTATATATATATCTATATATATATATATATATATATATATATATATATAGAGAGAGAGAGAGAGAGAGATATTTACTGTTGCTTGAGAGATACAAGCAACAGTCTTTTAGATCAAGTTACCACAACTGATGCTTGGCCCACAGGTTGGGTTTTGGGAGTAGAACTCTAGGAACCCGCTCCGTTGCAACCTGCTCTCGCACAAGACAGCACATATATGACTTATTGCCTATAGTCACTATTTCGCTTATAAATAAGTGCATATGTGACATATTCCAAGCCATATTTGTTTTCAAGGCACTAACTTTTTCTCTCAGTTTTATTAAACAATAGAGATTTTATACAAAATTTGACAATATCTTGAGTTATTTTACAATTAATTTAAATATTTTAGTTTTGTTTTATTATTTTTATAAAACTGTGATATCAATATAGGTATAGGTTTAGTACTAATTGTTATATCTTAACATACTAAGAAGGTTAGGTTGTAGTTTTCTATTCAGTTTTTCAAGGTAAACTCAAATATTCACAATAAATTAGTATGTCACATATGCACTTATTCA